GTGGTTGTCATTCAACAGGCGCCTGGGGCCGGCGGCCCCTACGTGGTCGGCACTGCCCCGAGCGTCCCTCCTGTAACCCAGGCGCCCCCTTTTTGTTTCAGACTATGTGGAGAAGCCTTTGAAGTTGGTCCTGAAGGTGGGAGGGAACGAAGTCACCGAGCTGTCCACAGGTAGCTCGGGACACGACTCGAGCCTCTTCGAAGACAAAAATGATCACGACAAACACAAAGACAGAAAACGGAAAAAGAGGAAGAAAGGAGAGAAGCAGGTGCCTGGGGAAGAAAAGGGGAGAAAACGGAGACGAGTCAAGGTAAAGGTGGTTTCATTGCTTAGCCCTTTCTACCAAGTCAGCTTTATCTTTGTGTCCAGTGAGACACCAAACGCCGGTAAAATCTGGTTTGTGTTGAGGAGGAGCAGGACAGTAGAAACATGAATTCACCTGTGAGTTTCAGCAAGTCTTGAATTCATTATACTGTTAGGCAGGTGTATTTACACATCAGATGATTAAGCAGTTAAGTCTTGGTTTTCAGGAGCTCCTCCAGAGAATGCTTTTAACCATTTGGGAAGGGTGAAAAGTCGTGCTCAGGGTTTGGCAGAACTAGTCATTTCAAAACAGAGTGGGGTCTATTGGCATTCAGATGTTTCTTTGAAATAAGTATAATGCCAGATATATTATCAGTAACTCATCTTTTAAAACAAAGTTTGAGTCTGTTAAAGAGAAAATGTGGTTAAAGATCTGTAATGGCAGTAACAGGAAGAAAAATAAGCATTTTTAACCATTTTCATTTAATAGAAAAAGAATACGTAGCCGACTGATTTGCAAGCTGAAGAAAAAGTAATTCGTTTTCCTTCCAAACGTGTTCACATACATAATCTGGAAATAATCTTAAAAACCTGTACCTCCCAAATTTAACGTGTCACTCTTTGCATCTTGAAGATAAATCTTTCCATAGGTTGGTTTATAAGTTTTCTTTTGTTAAATAACAGAAGTGTTCTACTCATTATCTGTTTCTTTTTTGCCCCGGTTTTTGTTGCCTTTGTCTAAACTATGACAAATACATAAATATCCTTTTTCTCCTACATTATTAAAGTATGTGTGCATTTTTAATACTTCAGATGATACAACAAAAGCACACATAACTTTTAAAAACATTTTTTCTCCCTAATTCTTCATATAGTCTCTCTAGTTTTTTTAATTAATTGTTATTAGTAATCAGTTATTCGTGAATGTAATTTTTAAAATCAAGAGTACAAGACTTAAAAAGCAGTCTCCTACCTTGTTATAGAGTTTTGCTTCCTAAACTTTTTAGTTTTTCTCTTTGGATATTTATCTCCATTTCTAAATGCAGATTTATAGTCCTCTTAATGATTTATTGACTCATATAGAATCTTTTATTGACATCTTATTACAGAAGAATTTAAGTTAGCATTCTTTTACTCTCTACACCCCTACACCATTCTCACACGATGTATAGGTACATCGAAGTTACTTGTTCAATGAATATTTAGTAGTTATTTTGTTTACTGGAGACAAGTACAGTATACAAATGCAGATCTGATCTTGATCAGCTAGTTAATTGCTTTTATTTGGTTTGTTTATTGCTTATTCATTGTTCCCAAACTGCCATGTTCTGGGAGTTCTGTTTTTTAGAAGGCTTCCCCTTTTATTTGTTTATTTTGAGACATCACCTTGTGGCCTCTGTCCCTTCCTCTGAGCTTCCTGGGACTCCTTTTGCTTACCTCCTGGATCTTCATTTACTCCCTTGTTCTCATGGTATTGACTCGGGAAAATTCCTAAGAAAACATGCATAGGTAAATTTTTATAAGTTCTTACATGTTTGAAAATCTTCATTCTACACATTGTATACGTTGGTGGTTAGAGTCAGTATGGAATTTTAGATTAAAAGTTATCCCAAAATTTTGAAGGCATTGCTATAGTTTTCTGTCTTCCCAGTTTGCCATTTAAAAGTCTCCCTCAGTACTGGAGATTGAACCTAGGGCTTGTGCACTGAGCTACATTCCCAGACCTTTTTTCATTTTTTTGATACAGAGTCTCACTAAAGTTCCCTAGGCTGGACTCAAACTTGTGATTTTCTTGCCTAAACCTTCTAGAGTGGTGGGATTGCTGGCATGCCACCACTCTTGGCTTTTCATGGAATTTTTTTCGGCCTTCCCCTTTTGTTTGAAGTGTTCTGTTTGACAGTAAATGCTGGTTCTTTCAGTTTTGCAATGTTTGCTTGAAATATTTCTGTGATAAATTGCTTCCTTCTGTTTTTTCTCTTCTGAAACCTCTGCTATTTAGTTATCCTGGGCTGATCCCCTAATTTTCTTATGTTTTCTCTCCTATATTTCCTCCAAATTCTTCATTTACTTGCTTGTTGTCTTTATGTTAAAAATATCTGGGGGCCAGGGATTTTAGCTCAGTGGTACCTCGCCTGCCTTACAAGTGCAAGATCCTGATACCCTGGTATCGATCCCTGGTACAACAACAACAACAACAACAAAAAAAAAAAGTATCTGTTAGCTGTCTATTTGTCTTTAAACATACAGCATCAAAGAGCTGATGAACTACCTTGTGTTATATCTTACAGTTATTTTTTTGAGTGTCTTAATTTTCCAGAGAAAAATCCTCTATATGGAGGAGTATTTCTCTAGTATTTCTGGAACCAACTAAGGGAAGGGTGTAAGATCTCAACACCTAATTCACAACTTTCAGTTCATCATGTCTCTCCACATTTGACATCTCAAAGTCTGGAAATTTTTTGTCCAAGTTCTGAGTTTTATCGGGGTTCCAGGATTTTAGCTCTTCTCATGTGCTTCCCCCTCATGGCATGTAGGCATTTTCTTGTTCTATCTTCTGCACATCTCCACTTGCCTTCCATTTCCCAAGTATGTTGACATCTTTCATTCTCTGTTTTCTTGTGCTCTTTTTTGCAGTACTGGGTTTTACAGAACCTAGGACCTTTACACTGAGCTACATTCCCAGCCTTTTTTATTTTTTCAGATTGGGGTTTTGCTAAATCACAGAATTGCCAGGGATGTACTTGAACTTACAGTCCTCCTGCCTCCACCTCCCAGAGTGCTTGGATTACAGGCATGTACTTCCACACCTGAATCTTGCCATCATCTTACTTAACTAGAAGTAACCACTTTCATCTACTTCTAGTTTTAAGTTTGGTAGCTACTGCCATATGTAACACCATTGATAGACTCATAATCTTCACTTACTTTATCAATTATCCCATTTTTTTTATTGATTACATAGTATTTAGGTATATGGGTCCACCATGCTTAATACTGCTTTTTTTTTTTCCTAAATAATGTTACAGTGCACCTTATACACACTTTTGTATGTTTTTATAAGGCTATCTTTAGGTCAGATTCCTAGAAGTCACCTGTGTTCCACCACTCTGCACTTTCTCAACTATATTTTTAATTGTTATTAGCCACCTTCATCTTTTGATGCCATTATAAACTAAGATTAAATAATACGCATAGTTTCATCTGTCTGTTACACCCTATAGAGTAGGGCAGGTAAGTGCATGAAAAATGAAGTAAATTTGCTCAGAGTCCCGGTTTCCCAAGACTGGGGACTAGGAACAATAGGACATGTACAGATTCTAGGCTGTCATTGGTTTCACAGATGCTATTTGGGTTGTCACTTTTTCTCAGCCACCCTGGGCATAGGAGAGGGGATTTTTCTGTTGTCTAGGCAAAGAGTCTTCAGAATAGGATGCCTCTCTGAACTGTGTACTGGATCTCCAAGGATTTGGAGAATTATTGGTCAAGTCAGCTATGTATACCCTTTGACCTAGAAAGGGTTAGAGGGTGTGTGGCCTAAGGAGCTAGTGACTCTTCTCTCAGTTCTATGCAACAAGACAGAAGGCGGCCGTAAGAAAAAGATACAAGATACCCTTTTCCTTTTGAACTGTACTTCCAGAAGGCATACAAGGTTCTTGCTATGTTGCATCAGCCAAAACCTTGATCACATGGCCACCCTAGCTGCCAAGGAGGCTGGAAATGTTGCTTAATTGAAGATAGTGATAAATTGTTTGGGGAAAACACAAATATAAAACTGTAACTTTAAAAAAATATTTTAGTTAAGTGATCATCTTAAAAAGGCCCTGACTATATTAGTTTATTATGGCCCAATAAGTATAGTAGGATCAATAGTATTTCTCCCTATAGAATAGTAGTATTTAATGCTAACTAAAGCATTAAGGGTATTGTATGCCTTGGTTTAACCAGACTGTAACCTAGATACCATACCTTTGAAAGTGTGCTGAATTTTTTTTTCCCTTAAATATTTGGATGCTGAGCAATTGGCAGAGAATTTGCTTGCTGGATTAATTTTTATTTTTATTTCATTACCCTTCCCTTAATAATCAGCCTTGCATTTTGAAGTCACGTATTTCCATAGTATATAAAATGTTAAGTAACAGTTCATGGAACAATGCTCATACCATTTGATTAAGTATCATGCACAAGAGCATGATTTAGTAAAACTGAGGTTCAATAGATAAAATTCTGTGTAGACCATTAAGTTGATAAAAGAGTGGTTTATAAAAATTATAAATGTGTTTATAAAGTCATTTTATGTGAAATGACTATACCCAAAATGATTACTAAAAACCTACATATACATTTTACAAACAGTTACTCCTACATTAAGCACATGCTGCATTTCTGGGTTCTGTGCCTAGTGCTTTGTGTGTGTTACTTTACTCTTTAGCATGATCCTGTAAAATTGGTATAATAATTTCTTCTTTTGTGCTAAAATATACATAGCATAAAGAGCATATACATAGCAAATATACCACCTTAACCACTTTTAAGTGTATGGTTCAGTGTTAAGTTGTGCGGCCAGTTTCTAGAACTTTTTTATAACCATTAAACAATTCCCTATTTCCCATTTCCCCTTTCCCAAGCCCCTGGCAGATACCATTCATTCTTCTTTGTTGCTATGAGTTTGAGTCTTCTAAATACCTCATATAAGTGGACTCAGACAGTATTTGTCTTAACTGTGATTGGCTTATCTCACTTAGCACAATATCTTCAGGGTTCATCTGTGTTATAGTATGTGCTACAATTTTCTTTTTAAGGCTGAATGATAATCTGTTGTGTAGATGTACCGAAATTTGCTTATCTGTTCATCAGTTGGTGAACACTTGGTTTCCTTCTACCTTCTGTTAGTAATAATAGCTTGTACAGAAATCTGTTTGAGACTATGTGTATTTCTTTTCAATATGTACTCAATTGCTAGACTGTGTTATTTTCTTTTTTATAGATAAGAAAAATGAGGCTCAGATA